GATTACACAATGCAAGTGCAGGCAGTCTCAGGATTGTTGTCTTTGGATTATCAGGAAACAGGCTGAATTCCCTCTGAACTCCTAGAGGGATTAGTTTTCCCGTAGGACTCTAAGACATGACTGCAGTATCGTAGTGGGAGGGGGTGGAGGTGGGGTGTAAATGCGTGCATACGTATGCACATGCATGCTAGATTATAGACAGGTAAGGAATCCATGCAAGAGTCTCTCCAAATCATCTGACACTGTGTACCCATAAATTAAATATTTGACAATAAGGAATTCTCTGACATTATTTGTTGTTGAGGAAGCATGAGATTGTATGACAAGAGATATAGTGAAGATTTAAATTGCCTGTTTAATTGCATGACTGGTATTGTAACTTATACAGCCTGCTGAGGCATGTAAGGCTTATTGAAAAGCTAGCAAGGGTAAAGTAAGTCCTTGTTGTTTTCGGTCATTTATAATTGACAGCATGGAGTGTGAGGAAACAGCGCCAGACTTGGGACTTGCTTGGCATTGTGACGTCAGTGAATCACTTACTTCCTCTGAACCTCAGCTTCCTGGTTATAAAATGGATCTAATCCCAGCTCCACCTACTCCGTGTGGCTTTTTGAGGAACATTTCTGACCTCTCTAGGTCTATGTTTCCTTGAAGTTCCGATGGTTTTGTTTCATGTAATAATAAATCCTAAACATTTATTCACCTAATAACCAAGTTTCATATCTTGAATAGTAGGTGAATATTAGGTGAATAAATGTTTAGAATTGTTATGTTCCCTTGATGAACTGACCCCTATTATCATTATGAAATTTCTCTCTTTATTACTGGTAATATCCTTTGCTCTTAAACCTATTTTGTCTGATATTACTATAGCCACTCCATATTCCTTTTGATTAGTGTTATCATAGGATATCTCTTCTGTTCCTTTATTTTTAACCTATTTGTGTTTTTATATTTCAAGTACACTTCTTGTAAGCAGCGTATAATTGGATATTGCTTTTATATCAGGTCTGACAACCTTTGCCTTTAATATATTTAGATCATTTTTACTTAAAATTATTACTGTGTTTGTGGTTAAATCTATGGTGGTGCCATTTGAGTTCTGTTATTGTGCTACTTGTTGCCTTTGCAACTCTTTTTCTGCCTTCTTTGAATTTTTTTTATTCCATTTTATTTTGTTACTTCATTAGCTTTATTTTATGCTGTATTTTTTTTAATTTCAGCAGTTTCTTTAGGATTCACAGCATATGCTTTTAACATCATGAGTACTTTCAAGCATATGCAGATACATATGCTTTTAGATATGTATTACACGGTTTGCAGATAGTATAAGAAACTTGCAATCATCTACTTCCATTTTTCCTCCCAAACTTTGCGCTGTTAAATGTTTTACTTTTATGTGTGTGATATGCCCACATTACATTGTTATTGTTTTTAACTATCAACCATATTTTAATAATATTTAAATAAGAAAGACCACATATATTTACCTATGTAATTACCTCCTTTTCTCACTTCTTTGTGTACATTTATGTGTCTATCTATCTGATATTATTTTCCTTCTGCTGATAGGACTTTTTTTTTTTTAACACTTTTTATAATGTGGACCTACTGGTGATTAATTCTTCCAGCTTTTTGTTTATCTGAAAAAGTCTTTATTCAATTTCATTTTGAAATATATTTGTTGAACATAGAATTCTAGGTTGATTTTTTTCTTTTAGTGCTTGAAAGAAATCGTTCCACTGTCTTTATACCTTGATTGTTTTACAAATGAAATTGGCTGCCATACTTATCTTTATTCCCTTGTACAACATGTATTTTCTCTGGCTACTTTTAAGATTATTTCTCTAGCACTGCAACAAAAACTCTTGAGTAGTTTGATTATGATGTTCCTTGGTATAGTTTTTAAAATATTCTTGTGGCTAGAATTCACTGAGTATCTTGGCTCTATGGGATACAGTTTTCATCAAATTTGGAAATTTTTCAACCACTGTTTTTACAACCTTTTTTTGGTCCTGTCTCTGTCCCTTCCTTTAGTGGCTCCACTACATGTATGTTAGGCAGCTTGATATTTTTCCATAGCTACTAATGCCCTGTTAACTTTTATTATTCTCTTTTCTAGGTATAATTTATTAATATGTCTTTGTGAACCTCAAATATCTGATACAGGCCTCAGTCAATTTAGGAAGTTTATTTTGCCAAAGTAAGGATGGTGCCCATGACACCGCCTTAGGAGGTCCTGACAATATGTGCCCAAGGTGGTCCGAGCACAGCTTAATTTAGTACATTTTAGTGAGACGTGAGACATCAATCAATTTTTGAACATTGATTCTGTCTGAAAAGGCAGGACAACTCGAAGTGGGGAGGGGACTTCCAGATCATAGGTAGATAAGAGACAAATGGTTGCATTCTTTTGAGTTTCTGATTAGCCTTCCAAAGGAGGCAATCAAATATGCATTTATCTCCGTCAACAGAGGGATGACTTTGAATAGAACGAAAGGCACGTTTGCCATAAGCAGTTCCCAGCTTGACTTTTCCCTTTAGCTTAGTGATTTGAGGGCCCCAGGATTTATTTTTCTTTCACATCTTTAAGTTCACTAATCATTTTTCCTGTAATGTCTATTCTGCTGCTAATCAAGTTCAGTGTCTTTTTTATCTTGCGCATTATAGTTTTTTTTTTTTTTTTTGAGACAGAGTTTCGCTCTTGTTACCCAGGCTGGAGTGCAACGGCGGGATCTCGGCTCACCGCACCCTCCGCCTCCTGGGTTCAGGCAATTCTCCTGCCCCAGCCTCCTGAGTCGCTGGGATTACAGGCACGTGCCACCATGCCCAGCTAATTTTTTGTATTTTTAGTAGAGATGGGGTTTCACCATGTTGACCAGGATGGTCTCGATCTCTTGACCTCGTGATCCACCCGCCTCGGCCTCCCACAGTGCTGGGATTACAGGCTTGAGCCACCGCGCCCGGCCTGCACATTATAGTTTTATTTCAAGTTTGATATAGGTCTTTTTGTATTGTCTCTACTTAAATTTTTGAATATATACAGTTATAATACAGCTATAATACAATTACAACTGCTTCATTGCCCTTGTTTGCATAAATCTAATGTCTGTCCCAATTATGGGTCAATTTTGATTGATTTATTTCTTTTCGTGAATTGTGTTTTCCTGGAAATTTTTATGACAGCTTTATTGAGATGTCATTCACTTTTAAATTCAACAATTTGGTGGCTCTTAGTATATTCACAGAGTTATGCAACCCTTACCACTATCTAATTTTAGAATGTTTTCATCACCCTGAAAAGAAACTCCACACCCATTAGCAGTCATTCCCAATTTTCCTCTTCCCCTACCCTGCCCCTGACAATCACCAGTCTAATTTGTGTTGCTATCTATCTGCCTATTCTGGATGTTTTATATAAAGGGAATCATCAATGTGTGGTTTCCTGTAATTGGGTCCTGTTACTTAGCATAATGTTTTCAAGATTTATCCAGGTTATAGCATTTATCAGTACTTCATTTCTTTCTATTATCTCTAATACTCTGATATGGCTTGACTCCATGTCCTCACACAAATCTCATCTTTAGTTATAGCTCCCATAATTCCCATGTGTTGTGGGAGATACCTGGTGGGAGATAATTGAATCATGAGACCAGTTTCCTCTATACTGTTCTCATGGTAGTGAATAAGTCTCATGAGATCTGATGATGATCTCATGATGATCTTTCGCTTGACCTCATTCTTTCTTGCTTGACTCCATGTAAGACATGGCTTTCCCCTTCTGCCATGATTGTGAGGCCTCCCCAGCCATGTGGAACTGTGAGTCCATTGAACTTCTTTTTCTTTATAAATTACCCAGTCTCAGGTATGTCTTTATCAGCAGTGAGAAAACAGACTAATACACACTGCATAACATATTCTGTTTATCCAGTCATCAGTGGACAGAAATTTGGGTTATTTGTCTGTGGAAATATTGTATTAGGTGTTAAACTTTGTGAACTTTACCTTTTGGAGTACTAGATGTTTTAATTTCTATAAATTCTATAAATATTGTTGACCTTCATTTTTGAATACATTTAAGTTACGTAGGAATAATTTGTTCTCTCTAAGTCTTGCTTTTAAGGAAAGACTAGAGTGGTGTTCAGTCTGGGGCTAATTATTTTCTGCCTTTGTGATAAGACCCTTATGCACTATATCCAATGCTCCATGAATCTTGATGTTTTCCAGCCCAACTGGAGGTAACAGCCACTCCCCCCAGCCCTATGTGAATGTTAGGCACCGTGACCTCCGATTCTTTTAGGTGGTTCTTTCCCTGGCCTTGGGTAGTTTTCTCACATGCATCCATGGATCTGCTCAGCTGAATACCCAAGTAGGACCCTCTTCAATTTCCAGAGCTTGCCCTCTGTGTGAAGCTCTCTTTCTCGTGCTGTTCCTTGTGAACTCTAACTTCCTTCAGGCTCTCAGCTCTGCCTCCTCAGCTTGGAAAGGATGCCAGGCTCCCAAGTTGAGGAGGCAGAACTCTCTATTTTATCTGAAATACAACTTACACTACACTAAAAAATGCAAAACCTCTGCGATTGTGGGGTTTTCTTCACTTGTTTCCCTTCTCTCAGATGGGATCTGTCATTTATTACCTGATGTACAATGCTTTTAGAACCATTGTTTTATATACGGTATGTGTTCCTCAGCTGTTTCAGGTGGGAGAGAAAATCTGATTCTTGTAACTCTGTCTCAGCCAAATACAGAAGTGCTGTGGCCTGTATTGTAAAGGGGTAAATTACTTACTGGTGGCCATCAAAGCTGCTGCGGAGAAAAATGTAGATGGTGGGTCACTTAAACATACCTGTTACATTTTGCACTGCAGAGCCAACCTTTTAGAGGTAGTGAGTTGTGCGTTTTGTTTGTTATGATATTTAGTGTGTTCATGACTATTCCTTTGGGAAATCCATTTTTGCCACATGCTTCTTTGAATGTGGGAACATTTATGTCTCCTTTCACAGGTGATCAGCGAGTTTGAGGCCTCCCCTGACTCATTTTCCTACAGAATTCCCAACCTGAGTAGGAATCGTCAGTACAGCGTCTGGGTGGTGGCCGTGACTTCAGCTGGAAGAGGCAACAGCAGTGAAATCATCACAGTCGAGCCATTAGCAAAAGGTAGGCAGTGGCGGTATGGACTTCATTTTCTGTTGTAATGTTTTTAAGTCTCTATTTTATCTGAAATAAAACTTACACTGCCCTAAAAATCAAATAAACCAGACCATCACATTTTAGCTCAAGAAACAGGGTTATGGCTAGCAAGCTCTGAGCTTCTGTACCATGGGAAAGGAATCCCCTGGAGGTAAACACAGAACTGAGAGTGAGTGGCCTTACAATGGAAGTGTCTATGAAAATGAGGAAAGGAGCCCCCGCTTGGAGTAGCTGAAGATTATTACATGGCATTTTCACAAGGATGTGCTACTTTCATCAAAATCAGATATCACACTTCTTAATGAGAAATGTCTTTTATAGTCTAAGAAATTTGCAAGCTTAAAAATATACGAAAATCATTATCTGCTGATAGAATGCTATAAGCAAAGACTTAAAGTAACAGCAGGAAGTAGGAGTCAGCAAAGAATAAAAAGTTCCTTAAAGTAAATATAATATATTCACATTTATATGTTAGACAGGTCCTTAAAAAGCACATGCAGACACATTCTTGCTCTTCTGGTAATCACTGCCATCTGGCATTTCAAGGAACCCCCTAAATTAGCACTCATAATAAGTCAATTCCCTTACAACACAATTCCAGGCCAGCAGGAGTTGCCCCTGATTTGGGGCTATGGAACAGTGGCAACTTATTACTAAAATGTCCTCTGAGAGCCTGAAAGAGAAGAATAAACACTCTAAGATTCCAATTTTAACTCCAAGAATTCTCTTGATAATGTGCTTTTTAATGAGATAGTTAAGAAAAAGGCAGAATAAAACAGTGAGGGGGGAAAAAGAATGATATCATGTTTTGAGCTCAAATACAGATAGAAAATAAATAAGTTGGTAAGGGAAATAAACTGGGGGACTTTTTATATATTGCACTCTTTGGTCATGATATCCAGCCACTCCCCAAGACTGAGAAAATGATGATTACCAAGGAAAATGTTGGACATAAAGACTAAGCTATGGGATTTACAAAAAAAAAAAGAAGAAGAAAAAACTACAACAAAACATGTAGGATCAGCAATAATATTTCTTCATGTCCTTTGTGCTTTCAAAGCTCTATCTCTAGACACAGCCAGAAAGGCCTGGCTAGGGCAGGAGGGTACGACTTCCTCAGTGGGGAACAATTGGAAACTCCCATAGAAGCAGGCCTTGTCTGGGGAAATTCAATGTCCTTCAGTCATTTAATAAGTCATTTTGAGTGTCTGTTGTATGTAAGGGACTATGCTGGGGACACAGAGGCTTTGGTCAAGGGAGGCTGACTCCTGAAACAAATGTCCCTTAAATCTCAGTGGCCCCACATAATAACATAGTCTAACTAGGATATTTTTGCCAGGGCTCTCTTGGGTGGCCTGTTCAACATGGTAATTCAGGGATCCAGGTCTCTTCCACCTTTTAATTTACAACCCTTGGTTTCTTCATTTACAGCTACATAGATGAGGGAAGAAGGGAGTAGGGAGGGTTTGATGAGGGATTTTCATGAGCCAGATATGGAAGTGTATACATGATTTTACTAATATCCTATTGTCTAGAATAAAGGCATGGACCCACTAGGGAAAAGAAAGAAGGATTTGGAGAGCCCAGAGGAGTCTCTAAAGATGATCTAAAAGATGTGTTCACTACCTGACCTCTTGGAGCTTACATTTTTGTGGGGAACCAGTCAATGATATGGTTTGGCTGTCTCCTCTCCCAAATCTCATCTTGGATTATAGCTCTCATAATTCCGCCATGTCATGGGAGGTACCCAATGGAAGGTAATTGAGTCATGGGGGTGAGTCTTTCCCACACTGTTCTCATGATAGGAAGTCTCATGAGATCTGATGGTTTTGTACAGGCACATGCTCTCTTGCCTACCACCATGTAAGATATGCCCCGTGTTCCTCACTTTCTCTCTGTCACGATTATGAGGCCTCCCCAGCTATGTGGAACTGTGAACCCATTAAACCTCTTTCCTTTATAAATTTCCCAGTCTCAGGCATGTCTTTATTAGCAGCATGAGAACAGACTAATACAGTCAGTAAACAATGCATTACAAAAGTGTATGCATAATGGCAAATTGCACTAAGTGCTGTAAAGAAATAGCATGAAAGGGCCTCACCTGCAGTGTCAGATGGAGGACGTACTTGGACCCAGAGAACAAGCTAAGGCAGTTATGTGAAGAGGGAAGGAGGGAATAGTCAGAAGCTCCTGCAAGGAAAGATTTAGGTGGGAGGTCCAGGATACTGAACACTGCTGGGTCTGGGAAAGGAACGGTGGTCCCAGAGATGCTGGGAAGGAAGGGAGGGGCCTGACCATACAGGGTTTTCAACACTGTGCTGGGGGTTTCAGATTTTCCCAAGAGAGAAATAAGGAGACAGTGTAGGGTTTTAAGCAAAGGAGGCACATGATCTTCGTGTGTGTGTGTGTGTGTGTGTGTGTGTGTGTGTGTGTGTGTGTGTGAGATAAACCTTACTTTTTAGACAGTTTTAGATTTACAGAAAAATTGTGATGATAGTACAGAGAGTTCCCATTTACCTCATACCTAGTTTCCCTTTTTATAGACATCCTGATTAAATGGTGCCTTTCTTACAGTTAATGGCAGGTGTGCTTTTTAAGACCACCCTGGTCTCTCTGTCCTGAATAGACTGCAGGGAGGGAAGGGCGAGGAGAGCAGGTGTCTAGCCAGGAGACCAAGGGGTCACCCAGTGGGGCTGTGAGGGTTGGACTAGCAGAATAGTGAAGAGGATTGAGAGGAGAAGCCGAGGGACCTGGGCTGTGTTGTAGATGCCTAGCGGAGGGGACTCAGTGGCAGAAACGCAGGAGGGCTTAGAAGGAGATAGCAAGAATGAACACCCAAATTCTCACATGAGTGAGCGTAAGTGGAGGCATGATTTCTAGATGAAGAAAACCATGGAAGAAGTGGATTTTGAAGTCAGTGAGAGGAGATGCGGGCATTTGGATGGGTTCAATCCAGAGCTTTCCTCGGGGAGCCTAATCCCCACCTTCCTTTGCTGGTGCAACCCTCAACCCCAAAATGGTGCAGGGGTCTCACATGGGTCCCATTGTTATGGGCTCCAAACAGATCAATACCTCCTTCCACCTATGGTTTTCATGTCTGTGCATCTATTGAGGGTGAGCTCCCATAGAGGCACCTGTTTTCTCTGTGTCCCCAGCTCTGTGACAGTGTCTGAGGTATGCTGGCTAAAACAAAGGACAGGAGAAGCCCCTGGATCCTGTTCACGCCCCAGAAAGTAGTGTCCCAATATATGGCAAAGACTGAGCAGATTGTTTTCCTCTGGAAGACTTGTGTGTGGTGTCCCTGTCAGCTTTTATGACTCACTGACGGAGGTAGCACTAGAACCTCTCACTGCTGACCACACTGGTCTTCCAGGCAAGTTTACCCTGGGCTTTTTTCTCTGTGTCTCCTGGGACTTCCTGCTACCTTGGGGCCACCAGCACCAAATGCCCCTGGCAGATGCTACTGTTTGGGCATCTGAATCACTGTCCCAAGAAAATGGTTGTTCTTCAAGAGAGGCCACTCTGAAAATGTCCATTCTCATTAATGTGTGTCCTGAAGATCAATTTGTTATAATGCAGTTAGGAAATTGATAAGTAGAACTTGTTCCAGTTTTACTCCCTCCCATCTTTAGGGCCTTTGCGTTTTGTATTGTCTACTTTCTCTGATATTAAAGTATATTTTAATGAGCAGTTTTCGTGTTGAAATAAATTGCTTCATAAAGTGCTCTGAGAAATAATTGGGCTCATAGAAAACACAGCTTGGAGCTGCTTGGCTTATGAAGCCCAAAATACTTAATTTGGACTCCTCATGTTTAGTCAATAGAAGAAAGAAATATGCTACAATGGAAATTTTCTGCTGGTTGTGTGTTCTTACAATGAAAATTCTTCATAACCCAGGTACCAGAGAGTAGCATTGACAACTGTAATGTGAATTGGCTTCACGTCCATTTTTGGGTATTGCCCAGGTCATGTTGGCCTCTGTGTAGACACATCTGTGGAGTAATCAGGCTTCAACTCTGTTTGCTTCCTCAGCTCCTGCACGAATCCTGACCTTCAGTGGGACAGTGACTACGCCATGGATGAAAGACATTGTCTTGCCTTGTAAGGCTGTTGGAGACCCTTCTCCTGCGGTCAAATGGATGAAAGACAGGTAACCAGTAACCCAATGTATGCCTTCAGTGAAACTCTAAGAGATTACATCTGACATACTCTGGTTGGGTCTAGTGGTCTTTTGTTTATTTATTTGTTTATATTAGTGAAAACTCAAGGAAACCTACCAATTCTTCTGAGATGAAGGCAGGGAAGGAATCTCAGCCTTAGCACTAAAAGGGTCTGATTTATTGTATCAACCCTCTGTTAATTCAGAACCTTTTAATTCATGAGAGAATGCTTGCAAGGAAAACAGTTGAACTAACTCAATAATTATTGTGGAAATTTGCTCTACCCTATCAAGTAAATTGTCCATGTAACTGAGATGAATGTGCCCAAGGTTTTTGTGTGACTTAACACCTATCTCTTCTTCTTTAAAGAGAGTGAGCTATCCCTAACCGAAATGCCCTGAGAAATAACTTTACGAAATGGAATACATTAGCACTTTGCTCATTTAAAATCTGGTTCACCATGCTCTATAGTAATTATTAAAATAATAGGAGCCAAGATAGAGGGAGAGAGTGAGTGAGATGTAGTCTATCCACATAACTTTTTAAAGTGCTCTATTTCTATTCAGGAGAAGAAATTAGGATATAAGTAAAGGGTTGAACATTTATTTATGGGCATAGAAAGGTGATATAATGGATTCAGAAAAATGCCTATTTTCAAGCAAAAGCACTTAAAAGGCATAAACTGTAGAAGTAATGGCATGGCATCGTGACCAAACTGTAGAAATAATGGCTTAGTTTAGTGACCACTTTTCTCATGCATTTAAAGTTGGCTCATCCAAATGAAATATGTAGTTCCCAAGGTCAGGCTGGCATTCTGCCTGTTGTGGGGATGACGCCAGAGGACTGGACAATCTGCCACCAGAGCAGTCGTTATGATGGCCACACAGTTCTTTTTATACTGGGGTAAACTCATCACCCTCTTGAGATATCACATGTCATTTTTCATGCCAAAATCATGAATAATTGTGACTTTAAGTGAATCGAAAAATGATCCCAAGATTTAGTTTCCCCTATATGATTTGTTCAAACTGGCACTTCGGCCTACAGAAGAAATTCCCAGAATTGCCAAAATGAGGACATCTCCAATGCCCACAGAATGGAGTAGGGAGAGACCCATCGATCTCTGGCATGGATTAGGAGCCCATTGACTTGAGCCAGAATCTGGCCCTTGACACAGATTTCATCTTCGACGTAACATTTTTTACAAAGGAAAACTTCAGCTATTGATCGTTTTCATTATGTAATATACCTTAGGTGTTTCATAATGCAAGAAATATGAAACTTCCAAATGTGTTCTTTGCTTCACGGAGAGTCTTTATGCTTTTCCCCAACCTCAGCTAATGTGGATTGTAATTTCTTTAATCTGTGCATTTTTCTTCCTGTGAGGCAGTAACGGGACACCCAGTCTAGTAACGATTGATGGGCGGAGGAGCATCTTTAGCAACGGAAGCTTCATTATTCGCACGGTGAAAGCAGAAGACTCTGGCTATTATAGCTGCATCGCCAATAACAACTGGGGATCCGATGAAATTATTTTAAACTTACAAGTACAAGGTAAAAAATTTGGGGATTCTTTTTAATGCTATCTTTTACATGTATGCTTTGTATGCAAAGAGTAACATTGAACAAATTTTAAAAGCAGCCCTCATAAAGAGCTAACTTCTGTTTTATATTACAGAAAAGAAATGTTTATTTTGTAAAATATAATTAAACAAATCAAAGAAAATAAACCATTCACAACCTCAAATAATATCAAGATACAAAACATCTTTGCATACAAAATGCTTAGTCTCTTTTTTCTTTATGTGTGCATGTCTGAAAAAGTCCTTCTTCATAACTTCCATTAATTGCACTGTTTACGTATGTGTAAGTGGATCCCACAAAACACGAACAAAAGACAGGACTGAATTGTGGTCTTTTATGTATGCTAATTAACTCAATTTTTATATGCAATGTGTGTAAAAAATGACAGTAACTGGAGCTCTAAGTAGGTTACTATAATATTTAGCTATGTATTTAATGCTAAGTATTTTTCTTGATATCATACACAAAAATGTGTGTAATTTTAAAAGACTGTCATATTAAAATTGCATGTAAATCCCAATCAATAACTGCTTGAGTTCAGATTTGTATGCACAGCAATATTTTATTAGTAGAAAAAAATCAAAGTGTGTGCTGCTTTGGATTTAGGTGTTGTCACGTTAATAGATTACAGCAAGTAAAAATAAAATCAATACTGTTCTCAGTGGGATGAAAGGAAAGGAGAAGAACTATATTTCTTAAAATACTGCAAAATTGATCTTGAATTTCAAGTTAATTGAAGTCAGGAGAATTCCGGGGCATTTTGGAAGACAGGCACTATATTATGACTCTAAAGAGATAGGTCAATATATCAGGCTTCTCTCAGAGGAAAAGAGAAGGGAATTTTAGACAAACCTTTCTATATAATTTGGATAACCTGATTCTGAATTTCTTTAGTGTTTCTGTCACAGAACCCATCCAGACTTATTTAGTAGTATGTACTCTGCAATTGTTGGATGAGGGGCCAGTTCATGTTCTGCAGTTCAATGGCCTGCTTTTGATTTTCAGAGGAGTGTGTGTGTGTGTGTGTGTGTGTGTGTGTGTGCGCGCGCGCTCTGCGTCTTGGAGGAATAGCTTAGAAAGTGAAGATTTTTGCATTTCTTTTTCCCACTAGCTACTTCTCCTTCTCCTCCTTCCCCTTTTCCATCCTGAGAAAACAGAACTGCTAAGTTTAACTGCCATTTATCTTTTTCATTTAAATTTCATGGCTGAAATTCATAGTGAAATGATCCATGTATCCTTGGTAAGTTTAAAGAAGATTGCAATTAGTGATGAATAACTCAGACAGTCAGGGAACTGGTGAGGAAATGAGTGAGGTATGAATCCAAGTAGCAATGTGGCTGAATTTTTTTAAAACAATAGATTCACTCTGTTCTATCTCTTTACCCCAGGATATCAACTAAATAGACACTTTGACAGAAGTGAATTGCATATTTTGGCAATCTAAAACACTTCTTTAATAAATGGCTGTTAAAAATGAGTTGGTAAATGACTGTTCAGGAAAATTAAAGATGTGAAAAACTAATTCTTGTTTTCTATAACCTGTTTTCTCTCTAGTTCCACCAGATCAGCCTCGCCTTACAGTCTCCAAGACCACGTCTTCCTCCATCACCCTTTCTTGGCTCCCTGGAGACAACGGGGGCAGCTCTATCAGAGGTAAGAAGATATAAACTGTCCACAATAGTTTATTAGTCATATGATCCACATTCCAATAAGTGACATGTCTTCAGCAAATGACTGCTATGTGTTATTCTCCCCCCAAAAAATATATCACATAAGCAATTCCTCCATTACCTGAGAAATAAACCGTATTTCTATTTTTAGCATATTTGCTGAAATTCAAATCATTCATCCAAGGATGTTCATTCAAAAAGTGAAATACCAACAAATGCAAGAAAGAAAGAAAAAAACTTGAATATCTCTTGTTTTGAGATTCTACACACTGTTTCTTTTCTGTTTTGTCAACATGATGTCATTCATTTACATAACCATGGGTATTGTTCTGACTTAGAAAGTAATGAAAGACAGAGGACCTAAAGTGTAGATGTAAAGCAATCTATTTGCACAAAGCCTTTGCAATTACTTTATAGTTGAGGTGTATGAACAAGGTTTTTTGGTTTTGTTTGCTTTTTTTGAAATGGAGTCTGGCTTTGTCACCCAGGCTAAAGTACAATGGTGCAATCTTGGCCACTTCAACATCCACCTCCCAGGTTCAAGCAATTCTTCTGACTCAACCTCCCCGGTAGCTGGTATTACGGATGCACACCACTGCGCCTGGCTAATTTTTATATTTTTAGTAGAGACAGGGTTTTGCCATGTTGGCCAGGCTGGTCTTGAACTGCTGACCTCAGGTCATCTGCCCACCCCAGCCTCCCAGAGTGCTGGGATTACAGGCATGAACCACCACACGCAGCCTAAATGAGGTTTACATGGAGCAGGAGTGAGCCTGGTTGTTCTAGTGTAAGTGGAATTAAGCCAGAGACAGAAGATACACAGGAAAGAGGGCCTGAGCCATAAAGGAGGTCCCAGGGCTGGGGAGAGAGAATCAGGGCTTAGACTTCCTAAGGCAGAGAACATCCCTTCTTCTGAGAGAGAAGGAAGGCTGAGAAGGTAACTGGAAGTCAGGAGCATTTCAGAGTGGTGCCAATGGTGTGCTAGAGCAGCTCTTTCAGCTCCCTGGAGCGAGGCACTTCCCAGCTTTGCACTCAGTGGCCGCTAAGAACATTCTCACCATGGAAATCAGAAATTCTACAAATCAGGGCCATTTCTGTCCTCTCCAAGGAACCAGTTGTTAAACATTTATCAGCACTCCAATGGGTGAAGGGAAGATCTTTCTTTTTTTTTTCTTTTTTTTAGGAAAGAAAAAGTGAGGTGATTTTTTTTAAATAGTGGGATGATTGGGGGTGAGGAAGTGCCTTTGGATTTGAGGAGCATGGGATAGATTTGTAACAGCTGCCTTGTGAAATCCACAGGGAGTCATTAATAGATCAACAAAGTCATTGCCAAGATGCTGCAAGGACCCAGCTGCAGATGCACAGCACAGATTGTAGGAGTCACAATTAACACAGTTTAATGACTTTCTTAAATGATGCTGGACAACTGGGAAGAAAAGTGGATCACAGATTACCAGTAACATAAGCATGGCCAGAAGTCTGAAGAGTGGGAGAAACTGGGCTCCTTGTTGAAATGCCCTACCAAAGGCTCCAGGCTGACTAGAGAACCTTTGTACAGGAAAAAAATGGGGGACACATAGGGAAGGACTCAAGGGACCCTAGGCTTTAGGCTCAAATGAAGTGAGGCTTGGATTCTGCATATGTGAGAGCATGGGAGAGGTAGAACAAGAATGGTGTCAGAGCACAGGTCTTTAGGATGAAGCCAGTTTTAGTGAGGGAGAGTTTCCAAGAGAAAGATAACCCAGCATCCCTGAAACACAGTAGTGGCCAGCGCCATTGCCATCATCAGGAGGTGTTGTAAGTTGTGTGCCCACACTGATGGACACTGACATCACTGAGGATGGTAGCAGGAGACAGGGAACTATGTAGACATATCACTAAGGATTAGAGGAGTGTTTTGAGGTGGCTTCGAGGGTGGAAAGGGGAGGAAAGCGAATTCCTACAATGTGTAGGCTGGCTAGAGTACAGGCTGGGATGTGGCTGGGAGCAGGCGCACAGGTATCACCTGTCAGATACTGAGGAGCTTTGCAGAGCTCAGATGAGGAACACAAAGGCTCAGGAAGGAGAAGGGACTCTATGGCCAGTGAGGAGGGAAGGCCGAAAGGAGTTGGGAAGATACTGACCATGACCTCAGAAGGAGGCATCAGAGATGCGTGATCGCCATGTGAGGGGTGTGGAAATCAGCAGACCTGCTGTTTGAGGTTAGGAGACACTTTAGTGCAGAGGGCAAGAAATGCTTTATTTGTATTAAAATGGAGTTCCACAAGGCAGGAATAGAAGGTACCAACCCATTGGTGCAAAGACACTATGTTCCAGGCTGGCTAGTCAGAGCAGAGAAGGGACATGGCTTTAGATAACAGCAATGAAGGAGCTAATGGGAGGAATATTTAGGCATTCACAGGGGTGAAGAGCATGGGCTTCAGGCTGACCATGGGGTCTGAGTCCTCCTTTCAGCACTCGGGACTCACCACTCGGCTGCTCTGGACCTCAGTGTCGTCATGTGTTCTGCGGGAGAGTCATCACTGTTCCATAGAGTTGCAGAAATAATGTAAGCAAAGGGCTTAGGATGGGACTTGGCGTGGAACGAGAGCTCAAGAGTGGACAGTCATCATTGGCAGTTGTAAAAGTAGAGGTCGTGGTCCTGTGGGGGAATGAACTGTTGGAGGAATTTTTCAAACTAAAGAGAAGCCAGGTTACTGTCAGAATATTGGGATGGCTGCAAGACATACAGCCGGTTCTCCTAGCGTCTGTGGATGTGAGACCAGGGGTACATGAGGAGTGGGGCAGTTGAGGAAATCTCTACTCTTCTTTCCCAGAGATTCAGGTCTCACAAAAATAACTCAGCTTCAGCCTATATCTGCACCCAAGGATTCAGGCACGTGTGATCTGAGGGGCAGCTATTTAGTGACAGTATTCCCTGCTGCCCTATGGCTGTTAGAAGAGAATGAGCAGAAAAGTGGTTTAATTTTGACCACACTATCCAGAAATACTTCACAGTGATAACGTCTGGTGTGGCCCAAATGACTCACCAATCAGTACATCATGGTGCTTCTCCCAGGCTGGGTTAAATTTCCTGAAATCAGAAAGAGTGAAAATGTTCCCTCTGAAGATTCTTCACTTCTGAGAATGCTCATTCTGTGACCCATACAAAATGCAAACGTCAGTCCAATTCCCGTGGAAAGCGAACAGTGCTCGTGTGAATCTTTCTCATTCTCTGCAGGGTACATACTGCAGTATTCTGAAGACAACAGTGAGCAATGGGGGAGCTTTCCGATCAGCCCCAGCGAGCGCTCCTACCGCTTGGAAAATCTGAAATGTGGGACTTGGTATAAGTTCACACTTACAGCCCAAAATGGAGTGGGTCCAGGGCGCATAAGTGAAATCATAGAAGCAAAGACCTTAGGAAAAGGTGGGTATGCCTTCTAGTCACTTCTAAGTATCCTGTTTTCCCAGCCGGTAGGGGAGAATGGAATCATAAAAGATCCGTCATGTTTTATGTTTATGTGTCTGAACTTTGTCATTCCCCAAATGGCTTCAGCAGTGTCACAGCATAATGAGAGGGACGGCTGGAAATTACAGAGTGTTCTGGTCCTCTCTTCTGTTTCATTTGCAGTTAAAAAGAAGAATGTCATTTAAAAATCAAGGGCATTGGTGTCAACGTAAGGTGCCACGGCTGGGCACCCGTGAAGCATGACCCTTGCCTTCTCAGATGCTTTGAGGTGCCCTTCTCCCTTAGCCAGCCCAGACCCGCATCTTCCTATGATTTTCACATTGCCACATAGCCCCCCTCTTTTCAAGGGGAAAACGATGGGGTAAATTGTTAACATTTCAATGTGAGTTGCGTTTTTTTTTTTATCTAAAATGTGGACTTTCAAGGAGAAGAACCACAAACAAATAATATTCAGAGAAAAAGGTTTTGTCCCAGAAACTCCAGAAAGAAGGAGGGATGGTGCAGCTCTGTGTGAGCATAGGAAGGTAAGGAGATGTCTCTGAAGGTTTCCCTGCCATGGGTGTCCCATGAGGTGGACTGGGGTCAGATGGCAGCAGAGCGAGTGATGAGATGGCACCGGTATTATTTGTGCTCAGTGCCAGAGTTTCGGGCAACAAGTGGTAAGAGGTCAAATGATCCGGGATTGATTTATGCAGAAATCTATCCACTAGGTCCCTGGGCTCCAAGGCCAAGTGTTTGGATGTGGAGGAAAATCTGTTGGTGCTTCCAAAACCCAACTGTGTCTTCTCATGTCAGGTTCGCCACATGAGGGTGGAAAAAGGTCAACCCAGCACACTGCAATGCAAACCACAGAAGGAAACCCATACATGAACATCACATTGTTCTTTAGGAAACTCCAGGATATCCCAAAATAACCCCTGCCCATGCAATTTCCCCTCACACGCTCAGGTAAATACAGTTAGAGAGAGCCTGTTAGTCCATAAAGTCTCTGTTAATAGGGGACAAGTTGCCAGTGGCCTGTGAGCTAGACTTGGACTGAGCATCTGACGTCACTGGAGATAGCAGTCCAAGGGAAATGCATGAAGATGCTGATGGCCTCCCCACGTGTCCTGTGAGCTGACCTCCATGTGTCTTCTCCCGCAGAGCCCCAGTTCTCAAAGGAGCAGGAGCTGTTCGCCAGCATCAACACCACGCGCGTGAGGCTGAACCTCATCGGCTGGAATGATGGTGGCTGCCCCATCACCTCCTTCACACTGGAGTACAGGCCCTTCGGGACCACGGTGTGGACCACAGCTCAGAGGACCTCTCTCTCCAAGTCCTATATCCTGTATGACCTGCAGGAAGCCACGTGGTATGAGCTGCAGATGCGGGTGTGCAACAGCGCCGGCTGTGCGGAGAAGCAGGCCAACTTCGCCACGCTGAACTACGACGGCAGTAAGCTGGCTGGCTTCGTGGCTCTCCCGTTTGTGTCTTAGGGGATGTGCATGTGTGCCCTGCCCCACTCCCATCGAACATCATCTGCCGTAGTGTGACCAGTGCCCTTGGAGCCTATTAGGCTTTGGAGATCCAGTGGACTCTCTCTGGGGCTCCCTGGTACATTATAGCCAGATGACCATTACTGTGTGTCCAGAAATAATAGACTCAGGGCCATAGGGAGCCTCACTGGGAAGTCCTGGGGCAGGAGTGATTTCTCTTAGGGCTGAAGGACTCTTGTCCACGTGGTTCTGTGCTTGTGTTGATGTCTATGAGCTAACATTGCTTTTGTTGTCTCTCACCCCTGTCCCCACCTCATCCCAATCCATATAACAAGTTTCTTTTTTGCACTCATTACACCCTTAAACTGCATATGCTTAAACAATTTTCCATGGTAAAGGAGCTTATATTAGTCTCTGGGCAGGAGCAGGGCCACTGATGGAAACAGGATAATAATAGAAATCCATGAACACATGCACACACGCATACTCACACACACTTGCAGCTGGCATTCACTTTCCAGAAACTAGGTGAGGTGTCTCTTGACATTAGTCAAGCAAAAATAAATCGTTGAAAATCTTACTCCTTTTTCTGGGCTCAAGGGCCATGTATTGCTAAATGAACAAATGCTCAACCCAAGGAAGCTGAAAGGGAGGGAGTGTGTCCCTGACTGCGGCATAGGGGGGAGATTTAGATAGTCCCAGTAGCAGCACATTGATGCTGATTTCTCACTGGGGAACAGCAGGCATTGAGTTAGGTGCTCTAATTGCATGATAAAAACAGCAGCTATTCATCAGGATGAATTGGAGCTCCAGTGTAGCTCTCCTGGGAGCCTTCTGTTTGCTTCCTGTTAGTCAGGCTAGACCACAGTATTTAATGAGTTAACCAAGAAACACCCAAACCCTTTATCACAATGAGCTGAGCCAAGACCAAGTTAGAAGTACTCCTTCACCTGTGGGTGATGCTTTGTGAGGGGACACCTTTCAGTGAAGGTCACTCACAACTGAGGGCTGTAAAATTACACAGAGGCAGCCCATGAAAAGCATTAGCCCTTGAAAGAAAAGGTTGCTCTCTGGGAGAGTGATTCTTCCTCTACTTTGTGCATTTGGGAGGCCACTTTATTAAAGCTCCAGCAGGCACCTCCTTGGAGCACAGTTTATGCCATGCTAAGAGGAATGGCCGTGAACCTAAGGACCCACAGAAATGACCACAAGGAGCTAATGGGGTGAAGTTGCCTGAGGTTTTCATCTGGCCGATTTCTCTTATAATATCCAAATAACCGACAACTAACTCTGCCCACTTGGAGGCACACAGAGGAAACCTACCCCAAATCTCCTGTCCAAAGTCATTTTTCCATGATATCCTCCTCTGCCAGAGCCCAGGCTCTTCCTGGCACTTTTGACGTGGGTCCCTGGTCTCTAGGAGGACCCTGAGCAGAAAGCTCTTCCAGCATTGGTTACACCAGCTGGGGTCCCTAGCTTCTGCTGGGGCTCTGTCCTGTGGCCCTAGAATAGCCTATGACCTCCCAGACAACAACTTTTCTCTTCAAGGGCTGATGCTTTTCATGGGCTGCCTCTCTCTAATTTTATAGTGCTCACTCTTGAGTGACTTCTTCAAAGGTGTCCCTGTCACCAAGCATCACCCACAGGCAGAAGAACACTTCCAAGTTGGCCTCTCCCTGTAATGTGGTTGAATTATTTGATCTTACAAAGAAAAGAACTTTGATACTTACCAGACACTTTACTTAGCATTGAAGGGTACAACAAAATCGTGTCAACCTGCATATATTTGAGTAGTAAGTATCTTTCTTACTTTACATCATTGCCTTGCAATGTCACACTCTTGTCCCCAGCTTCTCTACAATATGTGCAGATGCTCAGGCACTCAGCTTAAATGTGCACACGGATGATATGCTCACAGCTAATGATTTAATTAGAAACTATTCATGTATAGAATTGGAAACTGTGATTCTAATTCACAGAGTGCTCTGCGGATTTTAAATGTTTGCCTTATAAGAAAACATAATTTTCTCACTTTATCCAAGATCCCAAATTTTGAAAAATCCTGTAAGCTACCTTTACATTTTGGAAGTATGAAATGACTATTACACTAAGAAATAAGAATTCATATTTATATATTCCTTGAAAGAAATTACGGATTTCTTCGGACCAATCTCATGAATATATAGCTTTAATATCTCTATTGTCACATCTGCCTGAAGAACTTTTTTATCTTGGGAAAACCAAGCGTTGACAGCCTACATTCATAACACTCAGGTTTCAGAGTCCTGTATGTCTTGATCTCACTCTTTCTTCCTCAATTTCCTTAGCCAAATGTTTCTGCTTGTCCTTGTGTTGTCTTGGCTTTGCAGACCCATCCTCATGGGCATCCCGTAAGTGCCTCCTCCCTGGATTTCGGAGCATTTGGAGGCATCGGTTTCCACAAAAACACTTTAAAGTGGGAAGAACATTTTTCTTGGCTTTAACAGAGATCACAGAGGAATGGGGATTCTGTTATCCCTGCTATACTTACTAAATGCGGGATAAAGACCGTTTTGTTCAGGGGAAAATTAAATTAGTTTTGCATTCTTTTTTCCTAAAGTGCTGACTTTCTGGCCCTTGTTGTACATGGAAAGTGCAGTAGGGTGGAGCATCTTCTATAATGGAGGGTAGCAAAATACATGCCCCATAAACAGTGGGTGCCTGCATGTAGATCTCTGTACCCATTGTACTCAGCATCTGGATAGAAGGCAGCTTAAGACAGCTCAGAGTTCATTTTCCTTCAATGTTTCCTTGTAACTCGAAATAATCTGAATTTTGTAGCACTATTTAACAATGCCTGGTCAAAAGTAGGCTCCATCTAGGGTCCCCTTTGAAAAATTGTCTGTAGCTCTTATACCCTCAAATGGGAGCTGTTGAAGTAGATCTGGTCTTACACCTGTGATAAAAGTAAGCAATTAACCTAATAACGAGGGATTTGAGCTTCCTCATGCCAGTGTATGTAGTACCCACTCCCTGCACATGCTCTACTGTCCATGTGCCCAACATTCTGATGTGGAGTTTTTTCAGATCGTCTCTATCAATTGTCCTATGGGTGACAGTCATGGGAACATTTAATTCTGGGTTAATTCATGTGGCTTTTGTCAGCCCTGGCCTCATGCTTTCAAGGGCCTGCGCTCAGCAGTGCATCACAAAATGAAGTCCTTTTCAAACGTGTGCTATACAGTAAGTTGGAAGTTCAGGCAGAGGGAGGGAAATAAATAAGAAAATAAGTTAGCTGGGACCTAGAGAAAGAGTTCTTTTCGTTTCTCATCACCTCCGACACCCTCAGATCACACAGCACAATATTTATAACCTGTCATCCCTAAAAGCTCCGCCATGCCGTCTTCATTAATAGCCATCTAACACCGTGGCCCTGCTTTCAGGTACAATTCCTCCACTCATTAAGTCAGTTGTCCAAAGTGAAGAAGGGCTGACGACCAACGAGGGGCTGAAGATGCTAGTGACCATCTCCTGTATCCTGGTGGGAGTTCTGCTGCTGTTCGTGCTCCTGCTGGTTGTGCGGAGGAGGCGGCGGGAGCAGAGGCTGAAAAGGCTGCGAGGTAGGTCCAGGCCCGGCTGTCCACCCCTGGGTGTCCCCTGCTGCTCCGCAGCCACCCAGAGAGAGGCCAGCTGGAGAACAAACCCCAAAGGGGAGTGATTCTTCCCTCTCTGACCCAGGTTCCCCCACTTCCTGATTCTCTGATATTCCTGCAGCGAGACTGCAGAGCCTCAGGGAAGAGCAATAAGAATGCTCCTATCTCGGTCCGAAATCAGGTGAAAGCCAGCCTCCTGCTTGTCCCCTAAATCCCAGCTGTCGGTAGGCACGGAAAGTTAATTTTTTAACTCTAGTCTCTTTAATTTTCAGTGGGTCCAGTAAAGCCACCAATTAGAGCTTTCTATAAAAAGATATATCAGATTTGCTCTGGGAATAAGAATTATTTGACTGACTGGAAGTGGAAATTGGGGGCTTCGGGTACCGGTAAAGCGTTATGAGGCAGACAACACATGCCATCCCAAATTAGAGATGGGAACTGAAGCCCGGTATAAGAGTTTCACTCTAATGAAGCAGAAGCATAATGAAGGCTGGGGAAGCCAGGCCAGATGAGCACCATTGTGAAGAGACACCATGATTATCATGTCCGGCTCCGTGTCGTTCTCTGTGATGAGGCTGTTCTCAGCTTCTGGCCAAGAGCCCTTACTTGCCCTTGCTCTGCAATGTGAGGACGAGGAGTTATTTCAAATGTGAAACTGTGCAGAAGTGTTCTGAGGTCCTTTGCCCTTTACCGGTGAGGTAACCTTTTCAGTAAAGTGTATTACAAGGTCTTTTCATTTTAATATCGGTGCAGTGTGGACTACTGCTATGCAGCATCCTATGTATGCTTCAAAGTTACGTTCATAAAACAAGTCTAGAATCACCGTCTCCCCAAAACATATCCCAAACTTTGCTAATATATTTAGAAAACATTGACCTCTTCTGTAAATACTTAATTTAACCATAATCCAGTTGAAGCAGAGAACACGGTAATGTTTTCACCTGTCTTCACTTATCCGAAGCACCCCTTTTTATGGAATTCTAGTACCTTTTACTATCAATTGGCTTTTGCTCTGCCAACAAATTACAATTCTGAAGTACATTGTACGTCATCTGTACAATTTAAAATCCTTCCATGAAAATCTCCTGCAGCCCAATAATTCAGGCAAACCATCAGTCTCCTTGAAATGTTCTTTCTCATTTGTGCTGACCAATTACCTTTTAATTTTGCAGCCATAACTTGAGTAAATGCTAGGTGCTTAATATACAAAGATGAAAAGAGCTTTCCGAACTCTAGGTTTAGGGTAGGAGGTGGGCCCATAAGCAGCTAGCAGTAAAAGAACAAAATATGTCATGAATGCAGAAATAGGGCTTCAAAGAAAGCCTACATAAGTGAAAACAAAAGACGGGTTAATCCCAAGTAGAAAGGAAAACGGAGGTTACTTCAGTGCTAAGTAAAATAGAACTACCAGTGTAGAACACAGCCCGTTATGGTGAGAAGTTCCGTATAATGTGGACTGTGTTCAACTCCATTCAACTCATGAGTGTTCATCACTAAAATACAAAAAGAATATTTTCATAACCCTTGTTCACAGTGGCCTGGACTTTAGGACAGGGTGTCTGTCCTTGTTACCGTTAGACAACTAGGTCTAACTACTTGCATTTAGAAGGCTACATGTTGTCTCTATGATGTTTCTTAAAACCAATAGCAAATGTTTCTTATTAATGATTTTCATCTAATCACAAGAGTTAAGTATCTAGGCAATGCTTCTCATCAGTCTACACCCTCCTCTAAATTCACCTTTTCTTCTTTTTCCTGGCTCCTATTGCTATCCATCCTTCCCAGCTCTTGTTTTATTTTTCCTATTCACCTTCAAACCTGAGCACCCCAACTGTGCTTTTCCTTGTCACTGAGAGCACTTCCAGTGAAACGTGCTCTGGACTCTTACCGAGGTCTTTGGGTTGAAGTGATGACCCTTACATCCTGTATTTGTATTCTTAGTCGTTCCTTGTAACTTAATTATTGCTGCACAAGTGCTATCTCCAGAAAACATCCTGGGGCTGGCGTTTTTATTGTTGGCGTCTCGACTTCTAGACACTAGTGTTTTGCAGTTGGGCTTGATAAAGAAAGCAGTACATCACCTCAGAGGGCTGGCCTTTTATTCCCCAGAAACAGTTTTGTTTTCTTTGTTCTGGGGAAAAGATAAATCCAAAGCAAAAGTTTCAGTAGGAAGAAAATAAGGGCCAGGGCAAAGAGGAAGTATTCCTCAGAGATGTCAAGGAGCAAAGGATTTCAGAAAAGTAGCTTGCAGTAGCACAAAGGTGTCTGCAGTTCTGCATTTTGTACATGGTTAATAATGGCTTCTAAAATCAAGAATCTGACAAGAAGGCATTCAGGATGCCAAGAATTGGGTACCCAATTCCATGCCACTTTGGAATGGCAAGTTTTAATGTGGACATACTGCGATAAATTCAATTCGACAAACCACTGTAGATTATCTGCCAGGTGCAAGATGGAACCTTTTTTTTAAACGAGTGGTAACATTTGCTTGGTGACCATTTCTGTTTGATCACAAGAGTTTACTAGGTCCTAGAAAAAGAAGAGATTTCTAAGACTCTGAGAACTATAAAAGGTGACATTGTAGTGGCAGTGGGTCAAGGCTTGCCAGGGGCAGACCCATCTCCATAACTGTGCAAAGCACTGCCAATAAAGGCCAGACTCAGAGTTGAGGGTCGTAAAGGGGAATCCATGGAACGTCCTTTCCCCAGAAAGATCTTTGTTTTTTAGCCCTGCAGGGCCCTGACACGTTCAGTAATGATACAAAGGATTTTCAACTCACTCATGAAGGAAAAATGCAGCCACAGAGTTTAAAGGAATAGGTGCCTATCTATTGAATATCCAGAGTGCATTGTGAAATCACCCAATTACAAGCAAACCCACATAAGGTACAGACTCGGGTGCCTGTGGGGAATAAGTTTAAATATATTTACAGATGCTACAGACAGAATATTTTAATTGTCCAAAGTAAAGACAACATTTCTAGTAACATGTCAGTGTTTTGCCTGAGTAATCATCTATCAGGGTTAAAAATGGAAATAAGGAGATTTGAATTATAGAGAAATATTGCAGGGATCCCCAATGGATGTTTTTAGAGTGATTATGTGAGATCAATTTCATATCGTTGAAATTGATCACATTTTTCAATTGCTAGAAACTATAAAAATGTTTATAAGCTGAGTATGTTTCACTGTATAGACAAGTAACCTAGTTAGATGAATATAATATAATGTTATTTGACGTAAAATTTTAGAAAGAAAAAAGAAAATGGGACTCTAGCAGTGTAGTCAACCTATATTCTCTCTTCCTGAGTGCTTTACTAATTTTAGAGCATAGCGACCTCCTAAACTCTAAATTGCCTGCAAGTGCCCACATTTTTTTTTTTTTTTTTGAATCTATAACCTTATCCAGGAGTTTAGAAGCTGCATTTTGCTTTTAATGGTGCCCTGGTTTTTCTTCAACTTCTAGATCCTTTGAAGTGGAAGGGTATAGAGTAAGTCACTGGTTGGGCCTGATATCCCAGCAGCCCCAGCCTTATAAAATGTGATCCCACGTCAAGTAATCAACTACAGGATTTCTAAAAGCCTCCTCCTTTGGCATGCATTTATGCAAGAAGGCACAAGCTTCTGTTGGCAGCAGTCAGCGTAGGTCAGCCTGCAGGACTTGAAATAAGCTAAATCAGTGATGCCCCGCTGATTTTTGTCTTTAGCTTATTTGAAGTCCTGCAGGTTGGACCATGAACATTTGACCATGCTTCTGTGGCAAAATGTCTTGCTTCCCTTGAATGGAAATATGTTTATTATTTTAAGCATGCTTTGAAATGGATTGTTACAAAACTGATCAATTTCAGAAGCCCGTTCCCAGAGAGAATCTGGGTTCATGGTGCTATGCAGGCAGATTTATGCAGGACATTTATCTGCTCTGCAAATGAGCCCGAAGCTCCCCTCATTTGGAAAACCAAAAGGTAATTTGAACTTTACTAATGTAAAGCAGGAGTGTGCATCTAGGAGCCCAGTGACACTTAGACTTGAGATAGACTCTAAGTAAATTAAGACGTCCCCGCACTAATGCATAAAGCCCCCCTAAATATGGGAAGCCCACATTGTTAATGAATAAGTAGCACACATGCCCCCCTTCATTGCCAAGCTAATAGATGCCCAAACTGTGGTTCAGATGGCATTAGAAGCCTGTACTCTGAAACCTTTTGTTCTGGGCCTTGTCTTTTCTCCTTTCTCTTTCCTTCTTTCTTTCTTCTTTCTTTCTTTCCTTTTCTTCCTTCTTCTCTTTCTTCCTTTCTCTTTCTTCCTCTCTTTGTTTCTCTCTCTTTCTCTTTCTCTTTCTTTCTTCTTTCTTTCTTCCCCTCCCCCTCCCCTCCCTCCCTCCTTCCCTCCCTCCTTCCTTCCTTCCTTTCCCTTTCTTTCTCCTTTTTTCTCTCTCCATATCTCTCCTCCTCTCTTTCTCTCTCTTTCCTTCTTTCTTTCCTTTTCATTCTTTCTCTTCTCCTTCTCTTTCTTCCTTCCTCTCTTTCTCTTTCTTTCTTTCTTTCTTCTTTCTTTCTTCCCCCTCGCCCCCTCCCTCCCTCCTTCCTTCCTTCCTTTCCCTTTCTTTCTCCTTTTTTCTCTCTCTCCTTATCTCTCCTCCTCTCTCTCTCTTTCTCTCTCTCTCTCTCTCTTTCTTTCTGCCTTGGTTTCTTAATGAAATTATTCTTCTAAAACATCAAACTTGTTATAGCAAAATTAAATAGAAAAAGCTCTCTTGCATCTGAGAGTGGGAAGCAGAAGAGCACTGGGGCGAGGGCGACTTGAGGACTGCCAGTGGAGGGCCAGGGAGTGGGCAGTCAGGAGGGGCTTGTGGGTCTCAGCCGGGCCCTGGAGCTCTGTTTTGCCTGGGTCTTCTGTTTTGTCTATGTCTGTGCATGCAGTTTTCCCAGATTACCAGTATATATGGCCTTCCTTTTTAAATATATGTCT